ATGAACGGATTAAAAGTGTGGCATAAATACACAATGGAATATTAGTCAGCAATAAAAGAGAATAAAATCATGGCATTTGCAGGTAAATGGATGGAGTTAGAAAAGATAATACTAAGTGAAGTTAGCCAATTCCAAAAAAACAAATGCCAAATGTTTTCTTTGATGTAAGAAGGCTGATTCATAGTGGAATAGGGAGCGGGAGCATGGGAGGAATAGAGGAACTCTAGATAGGGCAGAGGGGTGGGAGGGAAAAGAAGGGATATGACGTAATTAATGATGGTAGAATATGATGGACATTATTATCCAAAGTAAATGTATGAAAACATGAATTGGTGTGAATATAAAACCAGAGATATGAAAAATTGTGCTCTATATATGTAATAAGATTTGTAATGCATCTGTCAGAGATAAATAAAAAATTTATGATAAAATTAAAAAAGAAATGGCAAATATATTTGCCATAAGTCACATACTGTAGAATTTCAAAAAGAAAAAGGATGTTCAGATAGATGCTAATATTAATATTGCCATATTTTATAACTGCTATTTTTCATATTATGCGAACAAAACCATAAGTACCTTGAGAATAAAATATTTCATAAATTTATTTTATTTGTTCCCAACACCTGGCAAAGTGTTAGCCAAACCATGATATAAATGGTCAAAAATACTTTCTGAATTAAATTATTTTACCAATGCTTTCTCTGGTTTATCTGATGAGTAATAAATTCACTTTATGAAATTTTAAAAGTTCAAATAACCAGAGGTGAAAACATCTTGCTTCTGTCAGTTAATTTACTGAGTGAAAGTAGTAGTACTATATGAGAAATAAACTAGCTTGGTAAAATTTGTGAATGTGAAGAAAACATGAACCATGGAATAAATTACATATTTAGTTTATAAGAAGACTGTGAATGAGGTTCTTGTGCTTGGTAAGCAGTAAAAAAGCAGCATATTGTTCAGAGAAGGAATGTATTTTGAGTAGCATACACATTTGAAAATGAAATAAGAATAATTGAATAACCTTTTTTGTAAGGAAATATAATACATATACATCAGTTAAGTAAAGGAAAAAGATTATGCACTTATATGCACACACTACTATAAGTGAAAATTCTATAACATATATGAGTTATACTGCTAATAGCAAGACATTTTCAAATTCTGAACTTTGTATTTCTTCCTTCTTTTCTATTTTCCTCCTACTGCTATCTCTCATGCTGTTCCTCTATTTAGTCATTTGCTTAATTTTCTTCTCTCGACCCTTTCTAACTACACACACACACAGACAAACAAATGTGCATGCATACCCATAACCCCATATCCCAACTGTCTCCTTTACCTTGTATACAAAGCATGAAGAAACCAACTACCTACAGGAACCCTAACAGTAAGATCACTAATTGACTAGACTAGTGGGTGGCTTTCAAACTTCTGAACATGTATCCCTAAAACAAAACTGAAAAAAAAAATATATAGACTTTGTGCCAGTTATCAATTTGTTACCTTTCACCTAAAAATCCATCTTCCTTTTGCTCTGCTAAAATGGAGCTGGGCCCTTGAAAATATCTTTTCCTTGTCAATTAGCATGATGCTAAGCTTTGCCCATAGAGGACACAGAAGAGAGGCTGCTGAAGGAAAACATTTTTCCTTCCAGATTTGAGTATGCTTGCTCCACAGGCTCCTTCAGTGCATGCAGCTTCTTGAACATCTGAATCCTGAAGCACATAGAGCTTCTCCACTTCTAGGCAGCTCTTGCACTGTGGCTGGGTTCTCCAATGATAGGCTCCTATAGTGTCTCCTACATCCAACTCCTTCAAGGTACCCAGCTTCTCCAACACCTGATTCCTGCACAGCAAACAGCTTCTCCATCATCTGGCCTTTTTAGCATACATGGCTTCCCAAGAGCCCAGCTACTGCAGCACAAGCAGCATCTACAGTGCCAGGATCCTGCCATGCCAGATGCTCTTTTCAATTCACAGCAATCAGCAGCACCTAGCTCCCCCAGCTCTCCTCTCAGCTGGGGTTTTATAACGAACTGCCTCCACTGAGACATCTTGCTGCCAACAGCTTTCCCCAGAACCCTAGAGGACAGATAACCAGCAAATTCCAGAAGGTGGATTACCAGAAAGTTCCAGAGGCTTCCAGCAAGTTGTACCCTCATAGCACATTAAAGACTTTTCTGACATTTAGTAAATATAGACTCATCCAGATTTCAGTTCTTGGGAAATGAAAGTGGGGATATGGGGCAGGAAAGAGAAGGAGGCTTTTCCTTGGGTTATCACAGCACCAGGAGTCATGTTTACCATTCCTGCTAATACATGTTTTCTCATATATTTTAAGTTAACAGCTAAATGTCTTATCATTAATTTAAATAACTACAAAAGATGAATTTTCTGTTGTTTTGCATATCATATGCATGTTCATTTTTGCAAACACTTGAGAGCTACATATATAGATTATTTAATGAACAGAGAAGTCCAATTTATGAAGTAATTTGCAAACCAGTCCTCACTGACAAATTAATCAAATCAGACTTATTTTCTGTCCAAAAGTGGGTAGAAAATAAGCCTGAAAATATGTGTATCATGGGCATGGTGATACCCACCTGTAAATCCAGCAGCTCAGGAGGCTGAGCAGGAGGGTCACAAGTTCAAAGCAAGCCTCATCAACTTAGCAAAGCCCTAAGCATCTTAGTCTCAAAATTTTTTTAAAAGTTTTTTTAATTATTTATAAAATAAAAATAAATAAAAGGGCTGGGTTTGTGGCTCAGTGGTTAAGCACACCTGGATTCAATCCCTGGTACCCAAAAGAGAAAGAAAATGGATAGACAGGCCACAGGTCACAGATAGAGGACCAGACAGGGAGGTAGACTGAGTTGTGCCAGGAGCCTTGCCAAGACAAAATGCTATTTCAATATTTTTACCAATGCTTTTTATCTTGCTTTTTTGGGTCTCTCCTTCAGAAGTAATGCTTTCCTGAAGCATTATTTTACTTAATGCATTACAGATCATACCGAAGGACAATAAATCATCATAATATCTGAGACATAATATCTGACACCTTTCATGAAAAGGGAGAAAGATGATCTTGATAGAAGACATAGGAAGGAAGAAGCAGCAGAACACAGGCTCTTAGATACATCAGTTTTAGGAAACACACATACAGAAGTTGAGAATCAGAAAATAGATTCCCTCAAAACTGTCCATACCCTAGGGCTCCTGGAGAGCCTTGTGGGTACCTAGGGCACACATTCTCTAGTCTGAAGACTGATGCACCAGACCAATGAGTTACTCCATCTCCAGAAAAGGAAAGAGCAGGGAATCTTCCCCCAAATAGATAAGAAACCAAGATGGGAGAAGCAAACAAACCTCATAGAAAAGATGTAGGATAAAAATAATTAAACCATATTGCTTAAAAATTTATAAAATAAAAGATTTCATTCCAAGATTGCTAAAGGAAATCAAGGCATTGTCACACCGAATGTGAAACCTGATTCCTACCAGTACCTATGTTTGGATAAGAGGCCTGCTTTTAGGATTCGTGATTCAAAATCTCACATGGGAGGCTGGGGATGTGGCTCAAGCGGCGATCCTCAGCACCACATACAAAGATCTTGTGTCCGCCGAAAACTAAAACATAAATATTAAAAATTCTCTCTCTCTCTTTAAAAAAAAAAAATCTCACATGGGTTAAATCCCTCACTTATAGTGGTTCTGCTTCTTATTTTAAAAGGTAAGTTTTCCTTAGATACAATACGTTAGTGAATCACATGATAGTGAAAGAGATGGAGGATCTTAAAAAGCAAAAGGGACATAGCCAATTATTACCATTTGAGGTATTAACAAGTTTAACATGGCTCAGCAACTATCTTAAGTGTTATATCAATTATTTTAGCACAAGCTAAAGGTGTTGAAATATAAGGACCTGTGTTTTCTGAAAGGAAATGGGTGACAATTTGAAGGGCCAGTTTTTTACATGAATAATAAATACGTAAGAATTCAGAACAGATTCTGAACCAACACTAACGTGAAATGAGGTTTTTGCAATTTAAGAAAAGTTCAAGGAAACTACTATTTCCTGTTATTTCTGGAAAATCTGTAAATGCTAGTGTTTTAAAAGAGAAACATTTATGGAGAGATATAAAGTGTGTTTTACATGCTACAAGTATCAAATTCTTGTTTATTCATTTCCCCTAAGAAACTTTGCAATTCTGTTTTAAATACATGACATTTACTCTCAAGTAAGCTTTCTTTTTATTTCCCCAAATTAGCCACCCCATGGAGAAATTAGGGCTTCTAGGATTTTCTCCATCTATATAAGTAAAATTTTGGTAAAGATTTTCTTTTCTTGAATAAGATCTATACTCTCCAGAATGCACTGTCTGAATTAACCATTTTGTTCAAAAAGTCTATGTCATCTCCATTTTATGATAAACTGTTGGGATCTTTAAAGATTTTTAAATCAATGCAAAAATGGCTAACCTCATATTTATATAATTTGTTTATCTGTGTATAAGTATCCTTAATACTTCTCAAGTTACTTTCAGTACAGGTATTCTCTTTATCGAAGAAGTATAAATAGTCTACTTAGTAGTTATTATTATATCTGAAAGATGTACATGATTTCAATATAGTCCAATAAATAAATTTAGGGACATCACTTGAAAATAGAAAAAAAATCAATAAACATAAAAATTCAATAAACGTACATTTCTATGTTCACCAAAATCTCTTTCACAGCTCTCTTATACACAATAATTACTGCGATGAATAAGTTAATGTTGGATACTTTAAAAATCTAAATAGTGAAAAATCTGTCTATCACACTAGTAATTTACCATGAAAGTCAATATTTTGTTTTGTGGGAGGTAAACAGACATAGAAAAAGATAAAAGTAAAAAAAAAAATAGTAATGGAAAGATTCCAAGGTGAACAAGCAATAACTAGTTTGTTGCCATCTGTGACATGCCCATACCTACAGGTTGTTAATATACTTACTTGAATAACGGAGTTCCACAAACAATACATTTATATATTCCAGGATCTTTGTGATGTGTGTATTCTCCTTCAAAGGCACTGATAAATAATAAACAGATCATCAAAAAATTAAGCAAAGCTAGTATTATTTCTTATAGAACATGTATGCTTAAAATACATTTCTCTAATAAATCTTTCAAGGGCTTTTTGTCCTAAAATGAGAACAGACCCAACATATGGAAATCTGAACAATACTAATATATTTCAAGCCCATATAATAAAATGTGCATATAACTACTCCAAACTAGTGCAGGTTAAATAAAAAAATCAAGTCATCTAGTTATGTAATGCTTAGAAGATTTTTTCCAATTAAAAAATGCCTATAGTTGATTCACAAAAAAAAATTATTACATAAGATTTTTGCTACTCTACAGTGTCCAAGAGTATACCAGAAAATGCAGAAAGGTCTGAGACTTCAAGTGGAAGGAGCCTTATTTTTTGGTTTGAAAAGGAATATTGCAGCTTTAAGGGAATATTTTTCTAAGTTAACAATCTTAAAGGCTAGGAGGTCATTCAGCTAATACAAATCAGCTGTGCTAGCCCAACAAAAAGTCTATGTGCTCTGCAGCTTGTTTTTATTATCCTTTCACCCTCTTTATGAGGTCCAATTTTTTTTATAAACAGAATTTTTAAGAATGACCTAATCTCTGGTTGTTTGTGTGCATTAAATCATTTTGCTAGTCATGCACACAACAGGACGGGTAGAAGTCCTCCAGAGTTGAGTCCCAAGTCCACCACTAGATCATTGTACAGTGAGGGTGGACTTTGTCAGATTCAACATTTGGTAAATTCAGTAAACAGTAGATACTGTGACAGGAAGAGAGTGTTGCCTATTAACAAGGATCCCATGTGTGGTAAAGAGCTCTTTCAGTTCATGAATGAAAACAAGAAGTTACATCATTAATAAATCTGGATCATAGGTAAGTTACGGCCTTATGCCAGACTCCATGGTATAAATTAGACAACAAAATCATTGGACCTTGGCAAGTTACTTTTGAGCTGGAATCAGCTGAGAGAGACTTTATTCACTAAAAACAGTCTTGGAAGTGAACAAACTCTTTTTTCAGGACTTAGGGCGAACTTCCAAAGACCAAAGCCATGTGAGGGCAGTTATTGAAAATTTTTGACATTCCAACCACAAATGAGCCAATAAATACTTTCTCCACATGTGCTTCAAAAAGAAATTGGAGTGGGGTAGAAAGGAACTAAATTATGCTACCTTCTTTTTTCAGCCAAAACGTCTATACTTACAATGGCCACCTTCAAAATTTCGGCATCCTGGCATGGCTCCATGTCCTCATGGTTTTGCTTACTGTGATGTCTTCCCAAAAAATATACCTAAATCGCTATTACTTCCACACATTTTGTAGTAAACTAAAAACAGGCCCTTAACAAAAGCCCATGACTTTACATAAGATACAGAACTCATTAAATGGAGGAAAGAACAAATAAAACTTAGTCTTAACCTAAACAATGACATTTTCAAATGTAGACTTTAGCAAATAAGTAGAGAACTCTTTAAAGTAATTGGCAAGGAAGAGGATTCAAAGGAGGAGATGAAGAAAACTAGCTCTTGCTTAATGACTTTTTATTACAGCTCACCTTACCTTTCAGTCCCTTTCTCCTGAGTGACATGGTACTGCAGGGGTGTTAGCCGCTTCCTCAGCTCCTGCTGGGAAAAGACCACCTTACAGTTCTTTTTATCCCTACATGACCCTGGAAAGAGAGAGGATATGGGAGAAGGAGGCTTTTTAGCTTGAATCCTAAATAATTGCTTTGGCTGGACGCCATAGCACAGCTTCCACAGTCACTTGTCAATGACCAGACCAGTCCCTGGTGCACTAGAAAATCTTACCTGAACTGCAGCTGTTTATTTCTCTAAGTTTAAAAAGAATGCTTCTTAAGATCCAAGTGATTCCACTGGAGTAGTGACAATGTGCTACAGCAAAAGCTTCTAGCATGTGATACTAAAACTTATTGAACATTCACAAGATGGTGTTACATCCTTTGTTTCCCAGTACCCTGAAACTCCTTTTTAAAAAAGGATTTCAGCTGGGCTAGGGATGTAACTCAGTGGTAGCATATGGGAGGCCCTGAATTTAATCTTCAGCACCAAAAAAAAAAAAAGTCAAGACACAGTCTATTTACAATTATTCACACTGTATGTTTAAGATGATGGGCATATTACGTTAACCATAACCCTCCATTAAATAATTCTGCAGCTTGATAGAATAGCTTAAAACCATCCTCAATTCCAATTCTGAATGATTTAACTACCATCCTTCTTATTTTTCTGTGAACCCTGAAGATTTATTTTTATACAACCAGGAATTGTTTTTCTCTATGATTCCATCAGATTCTTCTCTAGGTTCTGTAGAGTCCTTAGAAATAAACATTTCTTTAAAGACATTTAAACAGGCAATAAGAAACTCAACAGACAACAGAAGGCGTTTATACTAATGCAGATTCAATAAGTTCCAAAGAAAGAGTGAGAAAAACAGGGACAGAGAAAGAAAAAGGTAAAGTGAATGCGATTTTTGCAAAGTATCTCTAGGAAGACTTCACTAAGTATATTTGATAGTGAAATACTTTTATTAATGTGACCCTATTAACAATAGCAGCTTTTATTTCACTCTGTATAGACTGCAGTAAAATGTTCAGAAAACACCTGTTTACATGTAGTATTTTATTTTACCTGCACAAGTGACTGAAAAGAAATACAGCTCCAGGACAGAGCAGCCATTACTCACTGTAAGAAAGCTGTTTTTCTTTGCCTTCTGTCGCAATGGGAAAGAAGCTGCCAATTGTCCTAAAGGTAAAGATGTCATAGAATGTTTTGAAGGTTCTAAAAGGGAGTTTGCTTTGTTTCCTCAATGTTAAATTCAATTTCTTTTGAAATATAAAGAAATATGATTTAGTAGTGGGAATGCTTTCTACTTCTTTTACTCTCAAGGTCCGTAATGTCATAGAATGTGAGAGCATTGAAGTTAAACTTGAAAAAATTAACTAACCAGTTACCCTGATTGTGGGATTGAAGGAGGGTATCAGCTTCCAGAATCAAGGCCACCAAGACACAGTGGCTGATTCTCTATCAAAAAATGCAGAGGCAGGAAAAGAGCAAATAGCTGAATAGAAAGGTAAGCATTAGTGTAGGCCTGCGGCTATCAACAGCTCTTCTGCTGACCTTCCATGAAGTACCCTGGCCCTTCCCAGCCTGGAAAAAGCCACAGAACAGCTGGCACATCACAAATGGCAGCTGGGTATCTCATCTCACTGGGCCCCATTTTACACTAGGCTTTGTCCAAAACCCTACTACTTGAATTTTTACTATTGTCTAAGGGGTAAACAGAAATGTCTGTTCTGTCAGAACAAGCCTCTCAATGGCCTGAATGAAGAACAGCTCTTTCTTAAATAATCAGTTGACCATAGATAGCTAGGTTTCCCCTCAATCACTATAGATCTCTTAAAAGTTATTTTGTTTGTTTGTTGGAAAGGTTGTATCTTTGTTAATTCTGTCAAAAAAAAACATTAATTACAAACTTAACATGACAAAATATGTTGGTTAGAATCATTCTTTCCAATGGCATAGATAATTAAACTCCAAACCACTAGAATTAAACAATTCTGTCCAAAATATTTTTGTTAATATATGTTCATTCATACAAAAAGGCCAATTGTGTTCCCAAAGTTGAGAGAACTAAGCTACCCATCTGTATGTCATTTAGTACAAGAGAAGCAACTGCAGGTTTAAATTACATGGTATTGGATTGCAATTTCCTAACATTGGATGCTTTTCTGCTTTTTTACCTTGAGTCATTTACTAAGGAGTGTTCATAAAAAGTAGCTTAAAGCACAGATGCTTGCAAATCGTTTAGACAAAGATGTTTCTCTCTTTTTCATTCCCCCCTCTCTCAAAAATCTCACTTTTCTGAAGAAAAAGAATAAAACTGTTGGTCAGTATTGATGAACCATGTCAAGTATTTGTATAACAGGGGAAAAAAAGGTAAAATTGAAAACATCTGATTGAAGTAAATAATACAAACATAAAAGCTTTACTGGTGAATGAAGGGTATTGAAAAGACTTTATTTCATAGATTAGAAATTACTTTTGATCTAAACATTCTTAAAAACAGATTGTTTTCTACTATGAACCATCTCATTAACTGTGCTACAGAGACCTCGTTTGAATGGCAAGCTTTGAAAGAGTGCTGCTGTACTCCTTTGTTAGTCTCCGTCTTATTTAGGAGGGGAATAAAGATTTCATTCCAGCTTTCTTTGTTTGTCTTTCAAGAACCACTAAAGCAGTATTCACACAAATTTTGTAGGAATGTGCCCTATGTCATAGCCTACAAATTATTTGGTTTTGGTGCACTTAAAGGTCATCTTCCAAATTAGCAAAATTTTCCTACATCCTGGCTTTTCAACCTTAAATATAAATATTGTTTCCTAACTGTAAGTGAGGTTTGTTCTCTAAGAAATGCTAGTGATTATTTAAAATTGTCAAACTTTATACCTTTTCTACTCTTTGGTCATACTATGTTCTCAAAATAATTAGACTTTTAAAGAATACCTAATAGTGAGAGGAAGTATATATACTTCAGAAATAATTATTATGATTTTACATTAAACAACTCATTGAGAAGTTTATCATATTTTATAAATGTCTTGCCATGTAGTTTAATAATAATAATATAATACCTGGACAATTGAAAGCTACACTATTTCATTAGCTCTTCTAGCATAACCCAAAACCCAAAATTGGCATACATAAACACAGAAAAACTTCCCTTTTGTCTCTCTCTGATTTTCCTTCCCCCATCAGACTCACTTTCCTGAAGTCATATGGTGCCACTGTTAATTTTAAAGATATCATTTCATTTTGAAATTCTAGAGTAATTCATTGGATGGTTTCCCTTTACTATCTTCACTTAGGTACTGTAATTTTCTTATTACACAGGGTAATTTAACATTAGTATTATACAACATCTGTTCAATGACCTCTAAATTGGCTTAGAAGTATGTTAGGGAAAGACGTTTCCCTTTATTTAAATGTTTAATAGTATATTTTGAAGGCACAAGTGAGTGAGTGCACATACATAGCAACACAGGAATATTTGAGGAGTTAATATCGTCCCTTCAGTATCTAATAATAACCCATTCCTTACAGAGTAAACTTGGCATAGAGCAAATCTATCTGGCACCCAAACCAGAGGTATTTATTCACTGAAATATGCCCAAAGTCTCTTTTACTTTGTTCAATGTTGTTGCCTTAAAGCAAAACTGTTTTTCTTTTCAATGTTAAGCTCTTGCTATAAGTAGAAATAAACTTAAAGCAGTAGTTCCACTTCTGCTTCTGCTGCTTCTGAACAATGAGACCTTAGACCCGTCAACTGCTCTGACTACATGCTATCACCCTCATACCTGTTCTAAGGACCACAGCAAACAGCATACACAAAACTCAGTCTGACTAAATGCAATATCACATTATCATTCTGAATGCAGCAAATTCTGAAGATAAAATTGAATTTTACAAGGTAGCTAAGTGAGGTATTTCCATGTGTTTCAATATTTTATGAGTAATTAATTTTTATGTAATTACAACAGATGGGTATTTTCCCCAAAAGGTATCCTCAAGAAAATGCTAAAAATGGGAAGTGAAGGAAGAAAGTAAAATTAAAACTTGATTTCTACTATGTGTCAAACACATTTCCAAGCACATAGAAGATAGCTTCCATGCCCATTTTACAGATACAGAAACTGATACTCATAAAGTATAGATCTTAACTTACTAAGCAGACAACTCAACTGAAGCTCAGAGCTGTTTGACTGCAAAGTCATTGTGTTTTCTGTCAGGAAAAATTAAGTAACAACATTCTTTTTTCTCAAGTTATACAATAACTTTCAGTTTAAAAAAAAAACTATCATTAACAACTGAAGATAATGAGGGGTTAGGGAAGTAAGAATCACTGTATCACATCCGGAAGAGTAAATATATTTGTCATTAGCCAATGTCTGCTCTCCCTATATTCACTCTTTAACACAGGGTCAGAGACAAGGTTCGTAGAGGATTCTCATAGAGTCTAAAAATGTTAAAAGGCTTTTCAACTTCCTGTTAAGAAGTAAATCAGATCTGCTACCTAAAAATGCTTAGAGCACTTTTAAGTCATAAATTTTATATTTCAGTGTAAAAATAAAACAAAACTTAAAGATCCTATAATTTTAAGTTAGGTACAAGGATCAGAAGAAGTCAAATTATTAAATATTTTTTCTAAAATAATGAGTAAGAATAAAAATATCTTGTTTTTCTTTGAATTTACTAGGTTAAAACAGTAAAGTTCAAGTTGAAATAGTTTACTATTAGTTGAAATACAGCTTATTGCTATATTTAAAGGTAGTATAAAATTATACTTTAATTTTCACTATAAATTTTAATTTTTAATTAGTTATTAGTCTGTCATATTGGAAACTGAACAAACTTGATAGTATTAGACTTGATAGTATTAGAATTGCTAAAAAGGTAGGAATTTATAAAATACAAATCTAATCTACTTTCAAAATTAAGCAAAATATATACCATGAACTATTATTCTGTGTGTCTGTGTGTGCGTGTGTGTGTGTGTGTGTGTGTGTGTGTGCACATGCGTCCGCGCATTTGCATTCTAGTAATTCAATAGAGGCCTTAAGAAAACTACTGCAAAGCTTAGAGGGAATAAAGGTTCCCTATTTGTAGAAATATACCCAATTGTTCTCATTCTTCTGTTGGAATAGACATATAGGAAAAACATTCATTTATGATGTCAAGACACTGTTTCAGGCCTCTGGTTTGCACAAAATTAGGGCTGCAGAGCTTACTTGGAAGCCCACTGATCCAGAACTTTTTATTATCTAAGTTATAAAAATGTTGAATATTTATAGAGTTCCAGGTACTATGTTAAGTAAAATATATTCATTTATTCATTAATTACTTATTGAGTACCTACTACGCTGACATTAATCTGATGCATCAGTATACACCAGAGAATAAAATAAAGATCCTGCTTTCATGGAGCTCCCATTCTGAGAGGGGTAAGGAAAGACAGACAAAACACAATAAAAATAAGTAAGTAAATTATGTAGACTTACATAATTTAAACCTTATACCTATAGTGGTAAGTATGCAGCAAGGAAAAAAGGAAACCTGGAGCAGAGCAAGGAAAATGGAAAGTGCTAGGAGTAAGCATTCTAATGTTAGAGTGGTAAAGGTAGTTCTTCCTAAAAAGGCAACACTTTGAACAAAGTCCTGAAGGAGAAGAGAAAGCTGGCTGTGCTGATATCTGGAAAGAGCTTTTCAAACACTCAGAGGAAGTGGCCAACTCAAGAGATGAAAACACTAAGATGTTAAACACCATTGGCAGAGGAAGAGACAGGTCACTTGAATGCAAGTACAAAACACTGAATATAAACACAGTAGATAAGCAACAATTCAAACATGCAAAGAATGTATTTTTAAATGAGAAAATTTACAAATACATATCTTAATATGGACCTTATCTAACATTACTTTTTTTAGTTCCAAGAGAATTCGTAGTAACATCCTTTTAGCAAAGTGCTATACTCAAAAGAGTTCTCAGTAATTATCTGGCTGAACTCTGAATCTATAATCATCATGCAGACTCTGCTAACTTGTATTGTCTACTTAATGCCATGCTATTTAGACTAAAGACCATCATTCCCAATCTGGAGTCATGTGTAAGAGGATACTCAACAGATATTTTTTGGTGATGAAATCTGGATGAGCACAGAGAATAAAAAACTTTGGCCAAACAGTGTTGTTTCCCTTCTGAAACATTAAGTCACCTCTTCCAAGTAATCCTCTAGGTAACAGCAGAGAACATCCATAACTAAGAAAACTATAAAATTAGTACCTCAACTGAGTTTCTGTTTGTTTAAAGACATTCTTAATTTGTACATTTAGGATCAGATCAATTTCATCTGTATTCCAAGCCCTAAATAAAACATACTGAAGATAAAAGTACAAATCTTAGGAGTCAAATAGCAAACAGTTGTTTCTTTTAAAGGAAGATTTCTTTTTCCTTTTCTGAATGTGAGAAAAAATTATATCTTAGATTGCATAATAATAATCACATTTCATACCTTCTCACTGTTTTTCTTTTACTTCACATAAAATTATTCTACACATCAGTTTTAGTTATAT